CGGCGCACCACCACCCCATGAGAGAAGGATTGCGCCTCGCAACGACGCGAAGTCCAGAAATATAGAGTCGGCGGCTCAAGTGGCTATTGTAGACGAAATAGAGAGCGCATTATTGCAGTTTGACGCAGAACAACAAACTGGCTTCCGTGTGGGAGTGGCAGGAACCCATTTTATTTGGGTCTCAATTGTGAATGTGCAAGAGACGGCAACTTGTCGGCCATTTTTCTACTCTTTACAATTTCTTTTAAATTAAATTGAAGTCATTAAATCTTTCTTTAAAGTGTTTTTTCTCTAATAAAGTAAAATTTCATGTAACAATTTTTCGGAATTTTACTTCTTTTTTCCTTTTTTCTGTATTGATGAAAAAATATTAAAATAAAAAAGTGTGTTAGTGTTAGTGCTTTGTCGTTTATAACTAAAGATTAATATAACAACGAAGGATTGGAAATTACCTTTTCAATAGTTTTTCCTAAATGGTTTTTTCAACTCTCGGTAATTGATTCCCTAATATATATATATATATGTAGGATCTGAACTTTATTTTAAATTGGAGGGAAAAAAAACCTCATAGTTGCTAGTACTTTATAGAATCTTTTACCGTGTTCTAACAAATCAATGTTTTTTTAATAAAAATAAAAAAAAATATTATGGTATTATTACTCTTTATAATATTTTCTTCTTTTGATAAATTAAAAACGTGAAGATGTGACCGAAGCGAGTATAAAATTGTGAGTTCGATCAAAAGAATGTGAGGATGTGTGGAGTAGAGATTCGACTATCTAATCTTTTGATTAACATAGATTGGTTTATAAATATTCTTTAAAATTATTAAAAAAACCACAATAATATGAATTTAATTTTTATAATTAAAATGTTACATATCAACCAAAATTTAAAAATTTTCCTAATAAAATAAAATTCTTAAATGTTAAAACTGTCCCCCAAGTTGCCATTCACAGTAAAATATAATCTAAATACTCAATATAAAATTGAATTATAAATTCAAATTTATTAACCACCAAAACCTAACTTAACCAGCTAAGATACATATCAACGATCAAAAGGTCAAATTCCACGCTCACGGACTTAAAAAAAAAAGAAAAAAAAAAGTCAAATTCGTTTATGTCATGGATTGGAATTCCAACTATAGAGGATATCGAGCTATCAAATTAAATATCCTACAAAATTTTCAATGCCAAGTTATTATAGGGCCGAGCAATTAATTTGAAGTAAAATTTGAAAAAAAATTAAAAGAAAAATTACAATACAAATATTTCACATCAAGCTTTATCGCCTTGTGTCACATCTACTTCAATTATATGTATCAAGATCTTGCTTCTACAGAGAAGAGAATGAAGGCTGAATGCGAGGATAGAAGAAACAACTCCTTTTCGTTTCCCTTCTTTGCCATTGTTTGCAATTGCATTATCTACCTTGTAGATTCTCAGACGGCTTTAGGTTGGATTTGCTCAAAGTCAAAAACCTCAAACATGAGACGTCTAACATCAGGCTTTCCATAAACTGCATAAGAAAGTCCATGAAGAGCTTGCTGAACAGCCGTGGTAGCTGGGTTTCGAAGCCTCCGATTGTTCTCGTATGCATCTTGAACTTTTTCGGAATAGATGATGAGTTTATGAAGATACTTCTCCCTCAAATACCGCCCGCAGAACTTGTTCATCAGCAATCGCCGGTGCTTCTCCTGCAACCACTTTCCGGGAGCATCTAAATGCTTCATCAACAGTCTCTCAGCCATGACGATATCCTTTGAATGAACACAGTTGGATTGACCCCATAAACTTCTCGATCCAAACATAAAGGGTGAAAAGTAGATGGGATTTACAAAAAGTCAAAGGAGTGTTTCCTCCTAAGACATGTAAGAAAGGTCTTACCTGGATCTTTTGGCCGAGGTATTCTAATCGTTCGTAGCAGAACCGAGGATGCTCAAACTTGTGTTTTGATGGGTGCAAAAAACAGAGCTGCATTTCATTTAAGAAATTGACTGAGATAATTCTTGATCATGCTGGTTAACAGAATTTACATCGCTAACTAAAACCCATTAGATATACATCAAACATCAAGCAGAAGTTACAGATTACACAGAAGTTTGAATTTTCCTCCTTCCCACCTAAGATGTAATTAAGCTCATAATCAGACATCAGCTTTGATAAACATGGCAACAGAGTATCAGACAATAAAAACCGAAATCGAGAATGTAAGTACTATGATCATTATGTGGTTCCGAATGAGGGGAAAGAAAAGTAATGTCTTTGAGGGAGGAGAACTACCTGCAGCCCAAGTCCGAGCTCAATGTTCCTCGCTTCTGTAATGTCCGGAATTTTATCTGAAACAGGTACAGGGTATCCTAGTGCTTGCATGACTTGTGGTCGGCTATCGTAATCCCATATATTTCCCCGGAATCTGTGCATGCCAGGTGGGACACAAGCTCTGAAGAGCCTAGGGTGTGCAAATAGAGCATCTTCGGGAGGCTGAAGAGAAACGAAGGAGGGAAAGAAAACATGAACACAAGAGTCAATTTCATGCCAAAAAAAAGATGAAAACAATAGCATAAAATATAGTTCACTGTGCTATTAAGAATAAACATGAAACTTGCCTTATAGGCAACCATATCTTGCCAGCTGATCTTTTTGTCCTCAAATTCAACAGAGACATAATCTACATCTTCAAGTTGCCTACGTAACCTCGGTTCACATTCCTCTGCATCTGGATCCATTCCAAACACCTCAAAAAGGACCCGATACACTTCTGGCATTCCAAAACACAAGTATATTGCCCCAAACAATGCCCAGAACACAGATCTGCTTGAAGAAAATTGCTTTTAGACTCAAATTTTTTTATATAATCAGTTGAATCAAACTATTTAGAAAAGGGAAACTGTAGGGGTTTCAGTTCCCTGGAGTCACTAATCTAAAAATTAAGTGTAAGATAGTTCACTCAGAAATACAAGGGAAAACAATACCATGGTTCAATGAAAGGAAAAGAAAACAAAATTATACTGGGTCAAACATCCCATAAGTTAACCAGAGTTTGGAAAAAGAAAATTAACAATACATGTTTCACTACAGTAACCTAGCACATGCTGTACCATAAAAAAATGTGAATTTGATAGACCATGACCATGGGAAGTACATAACTGGGTACACAAAATCCAATCTTCCAAGTCCCACCATAGACCAAGTGTCATAGGGCAGTACTTCTCATCATGTTGCATAATCAAGGCAGGCATTACAAAATGTGACAGACCCATGAGCGCCAACTCTGTAACCCATGTTCAAACCCATGACAAGTGGTGGTATCAACAGATTTTCCAAAAAGGGGCAAATGGAAAGCCAAGTTGTTAAAAACTAGATTTATTGATGGGGAAACAAGTTTCTACAAAGGAGCAATGAATTTGGAAGGAAGCCAGATTCGTGGAAGGAGTCCATAACCCACAGGTCAAGGTTCAAGTAGAGAACGTGTGGTGCTAGGACCTCAAAAGTTGAGGTCAACAAAGAATCAACCCCATAACACGAAGCCACCTATAAAAATCCTAAAGAACTTCAAATTAATGCTATGTGCCACATTTTCACTGACAACTAGCTTGAAATTGTCTCTGGTTGGTTTTATGTAGCCTCGTCTTCAACCAGTGCCTACAACCATCACAACTTAGCTAACCTAACTTTTGATTTCCAGGGGCAGGAATGTAGTTAACTGCACTTTTGACTTCACTCTAATCAAATGTGACCTTCCCAATGCCTCTTATACCCCATTAATTCTAATCAATTATACAATGCATTATCATCATATTGCATAATCAGCTTCCCTAAAGAATTTGGTACTTCTAACTCTGATGATCTCGCATTTTGCAATGCCTCTCAAACTTAACATGGGCTTAATACATCAATGGCACAAATTTTCAATCACTTAAACCCAAGAAAGATTACTTACAAAATATCTCATTTATAGCAGCATTTCAGATCGGGAACAAGAAGAATTAAGACCAATGAAAAGACAATACCAAACTTACTTCACAGGTGGTTCACGGTCCTTCCTGATCATCTTATCCATATCATCGTATGGGAATATCAAATTCTGTAAACTGGCAGCTTTAATCCACTTTGGGAGGCTCCTCTTCCCAATTAACGCAAAAACCCGCTCCCTCATTGGACCCGGCGATTCCCTAGGATATCTCTGCAGAAAATACTCTGCTAACGCCAATTCGAGTACATATTGGCCCAAAAACAGTAGCCTTGAGTGCCCCGATCTTATGTGCCGTGCCTTTGTTCTCTCGCACGAGGGATGCTGAAAGGCCAAGTACAACAAAGTGTCAAACTGTTTCGCAGGATTGTCGTCTCCATAATTATCGGATGGCTCGAGTGGGTATCCAAGAGCCTGCTTGGCTTCGAGCAAGTACTCGTCCATCCAAGTTTTATCGGCATTGTTAAGCCGCGAAGATGGCAAACAAGAACTCAATAATGGGAATGATTTGAGGGTTAATTGAGGGCTATTGAGAAACCTTTCCGCTAACTTCTTATCATCTAATGGCGGTCTAAGAATAAACCTTCTTGGGGGCACCCTCTTCTTCGGAGAAGTAGCTCGTTTTCGCTCCGCGAGCTCCTTGAGCAGTCTCTGGGGGTTGTTTTTGGGCAGTTCTTGCTGTGGGTCAACTGCAACGGCAAAAATACGCAAATTTCCCGACGTGGGGTTCGGGAAACTGGGATTATTGGGGTAAATTTTGAAATGAAATGGGGTTAAGGAAGACGAGAAAGAGTAATTAGGAGTAGGGGATGCGAGTTGTACAAAAGAAGAAGAAAGTTCCATTGGTAATGGATACAGAAGGTAACGCTGGGTGGGTTTTCCGGTGAGGTCGGTGGCCGAGCATTAAGAACTTCGGTTAAAAGGAATTGCACATTGCCGATTCGAGGATGGGGAAATCCTCCCTATTGGGCTGGATTTTTCGCCGTTTGTTGCAGGGTTTTGGGAGGGGTTGGGAGAAGAAGAGGAATGGATAAGGCGTGGCGGAGTAGCAATTTCGGAGTTCTGCGAGGGGTTTTCCGTAATTTAGAAAAACGAATTATAGATTTATAAGGGGCTGTCTGGAAATTGGATAGAATACAAGGAGGCTTCCATTTTATTTAGGATTTAGAACAGAGCTATTTTTTAAATTTGTGGTGAAATTATTTAGTACAAATGAATGTTTTGTGGACACTCAAATTACTATCTACAAATCTCTATGATTTTGGAAGGATTAATTCTATCTAAGAAATAAACAATTATTTTGCTCCAAGAAATTCATGATTAAATAATTGTCTAAATATAATTGTTTTAAATTCTTGTCACATCAATTACTCTATTTTAATCCTTTCAATTTTATTTGTTCTACTTTCAATGGTTTTATTTTAAAACCTTAACTTTATATTATAAATCTATCCTCATCCAATAGTTAATTTTTTACCAAATTATTTAATAATAAAATAAATTCTATTAAAAATCAACACCAACACAAATACCCATGACTTTAAATACGCCTCAACTATCTATAACATAAATAGATAGAAGATACATTGATGTCAAATTTGTGTTAAATTTTACTGGAAATTAATAGTAAGGACTAAAATTAATGTTTGTCCAAAGTTTGTTTAGAAGTCTTTGTAGCAAAATAACATAAACGTAAAGTTAAATAATCAATATATAATTTGAGCTACATCTACAGGTTTAATAATCAAATAATATAAAAATAAAAGTTGGTGAAAAATATACCATTTAAACCAAAATATTAAAGAACAAAAACCACTTTATAGCCTAAATTTCACATCTATTTTAAAATATATCACAAAATTTCATTTTTCTTTTAACATAGTATAAGTGTGACCTTTTTATTGTATCTTATTTTATATTTGAGATTGCTATTTATTTTATGCTATTTATAAAAATGTTTTCATATTAAATGATCTAAATTTTACCAATTAATCTAATGTTACTAAACTCCAATAAAAATTATTTATTTCATGCTATTTATAAAAATGCCTCCATGTTTTTTTGTATTTTATGTTTTTATTTTAGAATAAAGGATGAAACAAACAAAACTTAAACAAAACTTGAGCGAAAGAAAGAGGAATAGTCTCCTTTTGAACCAACAAATCGATCTCCTCAGACCACTCTTCTAACGAGATGCATCGAAAAATACCTCCATATTAAATTACCTAAAATTTACCAATTCAACTAATATTATTAGATTTAAACAGAATAAGTACGGCTAACCTTATAGCTCAACGAATTAACACATTTATTTGCAATCAAAAGACAGTGAATTCGAATATGTACTAAAAAAATGAAATTAGTACCCTTTTTATTTTTACAAATTTCCAAATTCCTCCAAGAAAATTTGTCAGCATTTATCTCTTATCACATCAATTCATAAATTGACAAAAAGGACTTGAGATACCTGTACGTATGGTAGAAGTAGAAATTCCTTTTCCCAGATTAACGTATAGTTCAAATCTGTACTATAGGCTTCGGATGAGATCCTTTTTTTTTAAGTACGAAGACTTCACAATACTGTTTTCTTTTTCTTTGCTAAAATTAAAATGCATTAAAAAGAAAACGATTAGATTTTTAGAAAGCCATTCACTTACTAAACTATGATGAGAATCTGCCACTGATTGTACTATTCTTCCAACAACTTGAATCGATAAAATCTCAGTCTCTATCAACTTTATTTCTTTTAGCCGATAATAATATAAACTTATATTTTTTCTGTTAAACCCATGCTTCGTCTCCAATTCACATTAATCATATAGCTTCAAATTCAAAGCGATTTTTCCCCCAAAGTTAAACTTTACAAATGAATACACATCAACACCTCAATATACAAGCAAGAGATGAAGAAGAAGAAAGCTCAATACAACTAAACACCAATCACCCTGTTGATTAGTCAATGAGAAGCAACCCAAAGAAGATGTTCTCATAAAATATTTGATTGAAATGAATGGGGAATTTTTTTTTTTTTATACCTTGAAAATTAAGTCATGTTAAGGCTCACAACTTGAAAAAGCCAAGGAGGGTAATCTAGGATCTTCCTGTCTTCCCTATTACTTGCATTATTTTGGTAGCCTGAGGAAGTTTCAGTTGCCCCCAAAACCTCCATTTCTTGACCTTTAACTTGCTTTGAATCCCCACGTCTTCCCTCATGGCTGGACCCTGTTGAAGAAGAAGAGAGGGTTACTCCTGAATCTGAAGTATTGTAACTTGAAGGCCCTAGAGTTAGTTCGATTTCATTCTCGTTTATGATCTGCAGAACTCCATTGTTGTTGAATTCTGGTTCTTCGTCTTCAGCGGGCTGTTCCAAATCTAGTTTGGTCGTGTGAGTTGATTTGTAGTAACTTTTTGCATCCTGTTCATAAATTTGTCTGAAACATATCTCATTCCTTTTGTCCCAACTCTCTGAATTCCATCCATTTTGATTTTGCCTGCTTTTCTCTACGTTTTTCATCAATGTCTTTTGGGTTCGATATAGCCGATGAAGTTCATGTACCTGCAATAATATGTCTTCCCAGGCTCAGAACAGCTACAGTTAAGATGGCTTCATAATCGCTCAATTAAATTAAAATAACAATAGATTAAAGGTGAAAACAAAAGTAATGTTATAAAAATCAGGGATAAAATGGCAATTACCAAATGAAGGTAGATTAAGAGTGTGTCTAATATGAGTTAAACTAAGCACTCTCGGAAGAAAACTAATTAAATGTTTGGTTTAAAAATTAAAAGTTTTTTGAGCGTTTCTTTAATCTATTTTTAGAATTTATTAAACTATTTTTTATTATTGAAAGTTTTGAAAGTGCTTTTGATCAGTTAAAAGTCGTTAACCCATCTTTAAAATTTCAAAGAGATATTACCAATTTGGTAAAAAATGCTTCTAGCACTCTAATAAGCACTTGAAAAGCATGTCAAAACACTACAGAATAATAACAAGTAGGAATTCACCTAAATAGCTCTCATGGGGAAAAAACATGGACTGAGAAAATTTTAATATGATAAAAAAAAAATTGGTATAAGAAATTTTTTATGTAGCCCATACAAAAATATGACATATGTGTCAAAAACCCTAAATGAAAAATTAACTATCGATCCGATCCCTCCGTTGCCCTGCTACCACAAATCTTAATCTTTTTCTCACTTAAAATGTACCCACCGCACTCTTCTCAGATCGAACCATAAGAAATTCAGAACACCCATATTTAACAATTACCATTAAAAGAAAAGGGGAAAAAAGAACTATCAAAATTATTGAACCAGTAGGATTCCTCAGTTCTTATTAAGATGGCCAGATTGGGAAAAATCTGTGGTCCAAAATGAAGAGATGCATCTTTAACTGTTCAACAACTGCATGGGTGTTTTTGGAAAATTGAAGATCAGAATTGGAAAAAAAAAAAAAAAAATACCTGTTGTTTGAATGTTTCTTCATGTTTTAACATGGCCATCCTCATGTACTCCTTTTCATATGCCTTGGGCAGCTTTTCCATTGGGATTTCAGCCCCTTTTTCTTACCAGATGCAGTCTTTAATCTCGAATCCCCAAAGTAGTCTGAAAAAAAGTGAATTAAACAAACCAAGAAACTTGGTCAGAGATTCAGAATCTGCTTCTAAATTTTTGCCTCAAGAATCATCAATCCAAATGTATCGAGTTCGATAAATTTATTTCCTTCGTAACCACTGGCCAGAAACGCCCATTACGAGTTGGGAATTCAGCAGGTATAATAATGAGGATAAAACAGGCAGTAAGAATTAAATGAAAAACTTGTGATTCAGCCTTTTCATTTGGTCTTTTGTTTGCTATCCTAAATATCCATTTCTCATTCGGTCATTACATCGAGCACTTAATGCGCTCCAAAAATAATCGTTCCATAGGATAAGAAGTCGCTTTCGTAGAAACTCTGTTTTACATTGAAACCAGATGAAGATTCAAACAAAATCGCCCCTAGCTAATTGAAAATTACAATGTCGAAATTGAATCAAAGCTCGAATTAAACACGCAGATCGATCAAGAGAGGAACAAAAACGAACAGGAACTGCTTATATAACATCCTATCTGAAAAAAAACGCGAAAAAAAAAACCCTTCGGAATTACCTGAAACAATCCGTAATCCCAACGGCCGATCAGCTGACCGAATTACAGAATTTCGCATGTATGTCCATTTTCAGGAGACTGCAAAAGAAGGCAGAAGCTAAGATAAAGAGGGGGGAAGAAGAAAAAAAAGAAGAAACAGCTTCATTATCTTCTCCCACGAGTTTGAGCTCCAGTTTCGGAGGTAAAATGATCTTAATCCGTTTGAACAGAGAAAGATCGAACATGGAGGACTCCACCATTCCCCCAATCGCTACTAAATAAATAAAGAAAGAAAGAGGAAAATAATTTGAACTAAAACTAAAGATTCTCTCTCTTTTACCCACTGAGGAACAAGAACAGGAGCAGGAACAGGAACGTACCCAAGTTCTGCGATGTCTGGGGTCAGATTCCAGCCAATCTCCTTCAAGTTTCGTGAAAGATATGCTTCAGAAATAGGCAACACCAGCAGTGCACGAGATTCCAAGTACTTGGTATATATAATTCACATGGACTTCTCCTCCTTAACCTTTTATTTATTTATTTTTTCCTCTCTACGTATTTTATTTTGGGCTTGATACTTTTAGCCTAATTTTGATAACGACTTTATTGGATCTTTCTATAAAAAGAAATGTCACACATTTAATTTGTTTAAAACAATATGATGCTCTCCGACTATTTTGAAAATATATTACTTACTTTGAAAATTTTAATTGTTTATTATTTGGCAGATGATTACATCAAAAAATCGTATAAAGTAAGAAGAAGTTAGCATAAGATCATCTATTGAGTAGATAATTTCAACCAAAAAAATACCCCTTTATTTTTAAACAAATAATTTTAATATTATTCCTGCTTTTAAAAATCCCTTACAGACCACAATATATATTTAATATTTTAAAAATTAACCACAGATTTAAAATCAAATTACATAAAAATAGCCTTTAAAACGTTTTAAAATCCCTTTCCAGTCTCGATTTTCTAAAATTCATACTAGATATATGAAGTATTAAAATAAAATAAATGAATGAATTGGAGATTTTCTTAGTAGCATCGCCCATTTAAGCTATTTTATAAAGTTATAAAAACAAGAAAGAAAATGATGATGGAAATTATATAGACAAAGGGGACTCACATGCAAAGGAGAATTATATGTCACGGAAACAGTTGTCTCAATTATATGTATTAGAATCTTATATTATATCTGTCGATTATTTTAATGTATTTGGGAAATAAATGTCAGATAATTATTACCCATTAAGATAAAGATTGCGATGCTAGGGCCCACCGACAACTCGATAATGGCCGTACAATATAAGTTTACTTCTATGAATAATGGTCCAAAACAAAATAATGAGATGGAGCTGCATTTTCTTGTTTTTTCTTCAAAATTATTGTCTATTTTCTATATTTAATAATTGAAAAGTGAAAATAATGTTGAGGTACAAAAAGTTTCACATCCATATGGAGAATCTGACTACTGTAAATCATTATGGATAACATAGTTTAAACGTCACAATTTCACAAATAGCAATTGTGTCTTTACCCATATCGTCATTCAATAAATATTGTTGGAACTTCATAAATTAAACTATTTATTCATATTTCAAATAATTATTCAATTTTATTGAATACTAAATTAAAAGAAATACATATAGATTAACGATTAAAATTTTAAATCTGAGACGGTTAGAAATACGAACAATATATCTTACATCAGTTATACAAAATGAAATATCACYATTATATTATACAAAATGAAATATCACTATTATATTAGAAGGAAGCTATCTTCGTTCGGTATGACTTGTTAAGCATTTTCAATGAAACAAAAAAAAAAACAAATTCACACAGAGTTTATGCAATGATAAATATTATACCATTGTAAAAATATATATGGAGATGTTAGTGTTGTCTGTAACCGTGTCCATTTAATTAGTCACGGTACTATTAAAAAATTTATAACATGTCTCAAAATCTTTGTGAATGTATCACAATTTAGTCTTTTTTTTTTAAATGTTATTAATATGTTTTTAAAATTTTTAATTTCGTATCTATATCTATTTTAAATCTATTAACTTAAAAGCTTGTGCGAGGCATTTGATAGACTAGGTCCTATATGATTCTTAAATGATACAACATTAAAATTTTAGGTAAGTGTTAAACAATTTACTAACAAATATCTATCATATATAAAATTGAAAATTCAATAGTTCTATTATATACATTATTTTTCAATTTGAGAAACTAAATAAACATAAATTCTAAAAGTTTAAAATGATCCAACTTATAATTTGATATACTTAAATAGCTTAGTTAGAAGTTAAAAATTACTAATCCAAACACACACTATTTGGCATTAAGAATGAGACATGTATTTGTCAAATATAATTCAATAAGTCACAATTAGAGTATTATATATAAAAAAAAGATGGAAATAGAAAACAAAACTATTATACAAATATATAACTCAATTGGTCAGGCAATATGAACTCATATGTTATATTTGTATATTTAAATATCTACTTCTTAACTTGCGATGATATTATTAAGCAAAATAGAGTTGAATGAAACATGTTATAATTCAATAAATTATCAAAAACTAGTTATATTGTTTTTGTAAATATAAAAGAAATTTGCTATATCAATGAAAAACAAATATACATTTTGTCATATCTTTATTTCTAATATTATATCATCAATGTCGGACATGCAACAACCTATAGGAAAGGTATAAATGTCTAACCCAGGTTATGAATTTTCAAACTACCCCTCAAAATGGTTTTTTGCATGCAACGTATTGGTATTAGAAGTTGAAAAGAGGGGGAAATATATTTCTTTTGCCTCAAGAAAAAAGGGAAATATATTTATTGCCATTAGTGTAGAGCAATTAGCTGAATCCCAATAAAGAAGACTTGAATGAAGTCAATAATGTAAAAGGATTATTAGGAGAGCAGGTGAAGATGATGAGAATAAGTGTACTATATGGTATGTATATTTTATTTTGGATTTGGAAGGAGCAAATTAAAGTTGGGAATGAGTTGTAATGTTGAATCCAAACCGGCAAAGGGAAACGAGCGAGATCATTGATTCATTATGTATGGCCGACCATTGTGTCTTCCCACGTGGGTGTATTTAAATTTACCCCTCGCTGGGCCCGACCTCTCACGCTTCAATCCTATTTTTAGTTCATGCACTTTCTTTAAACACTTGTGTTTTGGTTTCTTAAACTTTGCATAAATAGCTAGATACATGCTATATCATCAATTAATCTCTGTTCTGAATTTGTTTTGAAACCTTATACTTTACTTGAATAGATGGGGTTTTGAAACCTTATTCTGAATTAGCTATCTCCTTGATATTTTAGAAAAATGAAAAAAAAAGAGAGGAAAATATGCGCTTCTAAAAATGTAAATGGATTTTGGGCTTAATAGGGGAAGAATATCTGGAGATTCTCTGTTGGGGTCCCTCCGTGGGGTTGTAATGATAATGCGTATTGCGTAACAATAAACAATAAGTTAAGATTCTGGGACTTGGTATGTTTAAAAATATTTTAGATTTTATTATTATTTTTTTATGTGGTAGAAAACAATGCACCGCAGAGTTTCATAGTCCCCACGTCAAGAGAAAACAGAGAGAGAGAGAGAGGGAAGTAGACAGGGAATCACGCCTTGCCGGTGTACGGAGGAGCAGCCCGGTGAGGTCCAAAGGCCCGGACCCTGGCCCTGCCGCCCCTCCCACCATGTCCCACCCTTCCAAAATAAGGTTGCTTTTTTTTCCCTTTTAATCCTGTTAATTGAAAGTTTTAGTTTATGTCTCTGTATTATACTTAGTACTAAATCACGGTGAGGCAAGTCAAAATGGCTACTTAATTTGTTTAACTTGACCGAATTATAAAAGTGAAATTGAGATTAAATCGAGACCATTAAATAAATAGGCAAATAATGAAAAATGATGCAAATAAATTTAGTGGGACTGTAGGTAATAAAATAAAGGGGGAATCTTCTTGTTTTGCTACCTTGTCGGTGGATTGTGGGGACTCATGATTTACAATCCGCTCTGGAGTCAACACCCACGTTTTCTGGTCCCATACATCATTAACTGCTTCTCTCTCTCTCTCTCTCTCTCTCTTGTTTCATCATTTATTTTATCACTCAGCTTTGACATCAAATACTAAAATTACATCAATCCATTAACCATGAAATCAGGTAGAATACGCTTATAAAAGTTAAAATTATGTTATATTTCAAAAAATAATTGTGACATTTTAAAAATACATAATGATGTGAAAATTTTCTCTCTCTCACTCTTTTAAAGTTTAAGATTAGACTTTCACATGTGATTTAAATACAAATTTATGTGATACCATCTTTTTCTTTAAATATATACTATAAAAATTAATCAGACAAGCATTAAAAATTTAAAGGCTAGACAAAATACCAAATCAAAATATTTAAAAATTTAAATATCAAAAGACTTTTTAAATGACGAATAGAATATTGAGTAGTACAAAGCCACACAGTAGTGAGAAGGGCAAAACTGTCACATAGAGTACTGAAAAATATACCAATGGATTAAAATTTGTTACGGAAGAATTGGAAAAATCCAACTATTAAAAATTCTATTGTGAAATTGGAAAAATGAGTTAAATAAATAAGAGGACTTTTTCTTGGGGCTGCAATAATTAAGGTTTTTTTTTTTCTTTTTGACAAAGCAATAATTAAGTTGAGCTCTAGTTTATATAATGCTCAATAATCTATTTCACAAGCCTATCTGTGGCTAACTTTTAGGTACCATTGTACAGTGGCTGTTTTGACCCTACGTTGTTCCTATATATCTATACCAACTCTATCCTCGACTTGCATACATTGAAAACCAATTAAATTATTGTCCAAAAATAACAATAGATTAAAATTTTTAACATTTAAAAAAAGTATTTCATATCTTATTGTTAGTTTTTAATTAATAACTCTAACAATAACTTAGTACATTTAGAAATTGTCAAACATGAGCTTCGCTAAATGACATCTATTCATTTATTTGAGGTCGAAAGTTTAAACCGCCATACGCTCAATTTGTTGCAGTGGAAACTCAACTTTTTACTTTTTACTTTAAACACTTGTTTTTTTATTGGCCGACTATCTATTAATAATAATGTAAATGAACAAAATACATGCATGTGTTAGGGTTTTGTTAAATAAGTTATTTAAAAGAATCCATGGCAAACATATTAAAATGGTTTTCTAAGCAACGAAATTAAAACATAATCTGATCTTGAAGTTGAAACACCGAAATAGAACAAGTATAAAACTTCAAAGACCATATATCATTAAAATAAAAACTAAAAAAT